CCTGGGTTTGGCCAGGACAGGGTTAATTTTCACCAGAATCCAGGAAGGGGCACAGCCGGGTGGGCTGACCCAACCCCAACCTGGCCAAACAGAGCAGGGTATTCCATACCATGTGCCGTCATGCTGGGTTTTGGTGGGGCGGGCGGTGCGGCGGGAACTCACTCGCGGCTCGGGAGCGCGCGGCGCTGGTCGTGTTCTGGAGAACGGCTCTGTGGCTCGTGCAGTTCGTGTCGTGTTTTCTCCTTGTCTGTATCGTTGTTGTTCCTGTTTCCCTCTGTTTGCTGTTCTGTTAAACTGCCCTTATCGCAACCCACCAGTTTCTGCCTCTTTCTTTCCATTCTCCTCCGCACCCCGGCGGGGGGAGGGGTGGCCAGCAGCAGCCGAAACCAAAACAGCATGGTTGAAGTAATTGTGAAGTAAATTGATACTGACTGGCAAATATGTTTATATTTACTTGCATTTTACGCTCTTAGAAATGCCGAGGAGTATATAATGTTTATTTTACGTCAGCATAGTTATATGCAGCAAATAACAGGTGGGATTCTGCAATAGCCTTCTACTGTCGACTGTAAAATTCAGTGATAAGACAGGATGATAGGGCAATATACCACTTAACAATTTGGTGCCATTTCTGAGAAGGTGGATGTTGCTTGGATGATACTTCATTACATTTTATATAATTTTTCAACTTGTAGTAATAAAAGAATGACTGCTTTTTTCAAAAAGGATCTAAATTACTGAAGAATATTGTAATTTCTTTTTCAAAATCTCCTGATTAAATATTATTTAAATGTCTGTCTTGCTTTAAAAGTCTGAAAGGAACATGTGAAATAATCATGTTTATATACATAAATATATGTCCATTATTTTTCTGTCCTTTTTAAGGTTTCCATTTTTTTTTCTATATTCTACAGGAAGCCCGTCTCATCTGAGTGTTGGAGAACAGCAAGACATGGTTCATGATCCCTATGAATTTCTTCAGTCTCCAGAAACCTCAAATGCCACTACTAACTAACCTGACATGTGGTATATGTATTTTGTATATTCATTGTATTATGTTGTTATGAAGTTTTTGTCCATGGCAGAAACCTCAGTTTTGTCCTCTTTTCTATGAGGATTCCTGTATAATATTATCATATATGCTGGATTAAGCAAACAAAAAAACCTACTTAGTACATCATGTTGTTACCAAGGTACCAAAATCTGCTTTTGATTTGTTTGTTGAGCGAAGTTGTTGTCTACTGGTGTGCGAATCTTGACTGAAAAACAACAAATAATGTGTTAGAAAAATTCATATTTTATAGAAACTTAGAAGTGATCATTTCCCAGTATCATGGCAGCAGTCATTAAATGTTTCTAGCAGAATTATCTACCAGTTCTGTTCAGGTCTTAACTTGAAACATCTTCAAGAAGGAATGTTTTATTTCAGCAGTGACAGAACTGCATAAATTGTGATCATTATTATGTTTCCCATCTCCTAACCCTAATAATCTGTAGAAGTTGTTTCTGTTTCCCCATATTTTTGAAGTTTTTTTAATCACTCTAAAGAATACTTAATTCAAGAGTAAGTTGCATTCAGGTGCTCACTATGAGAATTCTACCCTGGATCTAAAAAAGATGGATGTTTTTGTTATCCTTTGTGTCTTGAAACACAAAGAAAATAATATTTTTTAATTTGGTATTTATATTTACTTGGATGGAAAAATACTGGATAAGGTGTGATTTTCAGTAATTTTAAAATAAAAGTTTTATATTTTATTACTGATGTAACTGGGGGATTTTGTACCATTGGTATGTGCAAGCTGGACAAATGTTACGAATTCACAATATTTTGTAAATACTAATAGAAGTGCAAAACCACTTTTGATGTTGCAAATATCTTGTTCCTGCCAGGAGAAAATTTGCTTCCTTATCTTTACTAAGTCTGAAGTACTAGGAGTTTTAAAGCAGCACAAAAGTTCAGACTAAAAAAATAAATTTCATCGTGCCATATGTAGCGGTAAACAAAATTAACTGTGAATTTCTAGGAACCAAGAAAGAAGTCTGTCAGTTAACTGGTATCAAAGTCTTGATAAAGTCTAAATAGAATCATAGAATGGTTTGGGTTGGAAGGCACCGTAAAGATCATCTGGTTCCACCCCCCCTGCAGTGAGCAGGCACACCTTCCACTGGACCAGGTTGCTCAAAGCCCCATCCAGCCTGGCATTGAATGTTTCCAGGGAGGAGGCATCCACAGCTGCTCTGGACAGCCTGCTCCATTGCCTCACCACCCTCATAGTAAAGAATTTCTTTCTTATATCCAGTCTAAATCTACCCTCTTTTACTTTAAGCCATATTATTTAAACATTCATCTAGACTGCTAAACTGTTTTCAGATATAGATGAGAATACCTCTAACACTACTAGGAACTGTCATTATTATGGAAGATTTTAATTTTCCAGAAAGGATAGAGAACAAATTTTATTAGTAATAGCTAATCCAGACAGTTCTGGATGAAATTTTCACCATTTTTTTTTCACTGAAGAATTCCTGAGCCAATTCTATTGATTGCTATTGTAGGCGTGATTGTGGTGAGTAGTAGAAGAGACTTCTTTAGGAAATGTTTGGATTGAAGAAGCATGACTTGATTTAGCTTAAACAATAGGGTAAACCTTTCACAAAAGAGCTCTGTTTCCAGGAGAACTGAAAGTAAATTTGTCACATTTGACCATGGCCCATCTGGAATCAAACTGAGGAATTTACTGTTTATAACAAAGGTTCAGTTTTGCAGGAATACAAACTTTCGTAATGGGATACAGAAACCAGTTGATCTACTGTGCTACAGAGCTCAGCAGCTTGAATTTTGTGAAAATTTGGAATCTTTTAATCTGAAGACACCGCAATTGTCAAGAATCTATAGCCTAAACAGAGGACGAAAGTCTCTGTTCACATTTTTTTTTATTCCCAGGATCCTTATAGCAGGTGTTCAGAAAATTAATAAGGAATGCAAAGATAAGCAAAGATACTGGCTGGAAAATATAAAGAAATGCAAAACAGTTGTTAACAACAATGAAGTTGATTTAGACCTTGAAAAGTTATTAAAACAAGTTTAATTAGTGAAAGTACAGTAACACAGGTTTCTCAAATGGAGGAAATGAGACATCACCATTCTCTTGCATGTTTGAGCTTGACCTCAGTGATATGTAAGTCTGTAGCATAAGCTATTTCCCAACTTCCATGTTTATCAGTTTTTAAAATGATGAGCAGGTGGAGCTTGTGGAAAGAGCTATGTTTTAAAACATCCATGTGCAGCTCACCTGGAACCAAGTGTTTGGGTTTCGCTGTGCAGAACACTTGCAGCTTGGTGGTGACTGCTCTTTCGCCCTGAAGGTGGAACTCCGCTCCTGTTCTAAAGTATGTTTGTGCCTTCAGGCAAATCCCCGAACACATCTGATGTTGACAGGTGGTCTGAACTCTGTCCAATACTTCAGATGATTCAGGGAGCAGCATAATCCTGGGAGGCATTTTCCTCATTCACCACAGGAGCTCCGGAATCTTCACTGGATTGCTAGACCTGCCCAGCACCAGGTCAACAGAGGCCTCTTCCAGCCCCACCTCCAACTCTTCTGCTGGGCTCTCAGTCTCCTCTGTGCTCCCAAGACATTCAGGAGGAGCTGGGCTGTCTACCAGTCTGAGTAGTGAGCTTGCAGGTCCTGCAAGAAGAAATGGTAAAATAAGCGATAAGAGCAAAACGACTGTGTCCTGCCTGGGAAGCAGTGGGTGCCATGCTCTTCCAGTATGGATTCTCCTGGGAAAGTGTTGCCCGTTCTGCCCAGCTTCATTTGCAAATATATATTTCTTTCTTTCTTTGTAGACATTGCACTGTGCCAACTCTTTATCATCTGAGGAATCCTTATGCGGAGAGAATGGCCATGTAGGGGAGCATTGCACATTCTTTGTATGTATGCTGGTGTCTACATCAGGGTGTGGAGATCTCCCATCTTGCTTCTCCATGCACATGATAGATGGGAAAAATAAAAGATAATATTAGGAACAGTTGTTTGAGAAGGAGAATTGAAGTCTTACAAAGAGAACTTCCGCTTCTGTCTCTTCTCTGTTGTTTTCTGTTGGTATGAGCTAGAAGGTTAATGCTGAAATTCCTCTCTGTGTGACTACATCTTGGAAGATTTATGTAATTGTGTTGAGAGGTTTGAATGTTGTCTTGAACACCATTCCTCTACTTCCCTTAGATGTCAGACCCAGAAACAAGGTGATTAGCCATTGAAATGTGAAACAAAGGTATTTTTTAGGATTTGTTTGCTTGAATAATTTTTTTTTCCCTTTTGGGAATGGAGAAAATACATCATAACTTAAACTTGAACACTGTATTTGACTATCACTATTACATCTCACTCTCCACGCTCAGATTTTTCTATTCTAATATCTTTTTCAGGTCAGAAGTTCATTAAGTGATAGTGGTGTGGAAGGAATACTTTGTAAAAATACAACCTGTTTTTTCTTCAGATTACTCCGAATTTTTTCAAACTGCTCTTGTATCTAATATATTTTCCATGAGCTTTTGAGGGTAATTCAAGGATGAACTGTGACTGTGGAGAGGCAATCTACGCTAGATGAGGTGTTCTAGTGAAAATTCTGTGCCTAAGGGAAGTTTTTGGTTGTTAATAACTTAAATCACTACCTCTGCTGCACATACATTTTTCCCATCAGTTGCAGCAATGCTAAAGAAAGCATACAGCTAAGCTTTTATGTTTGGGAGTTGTTGTAAATATGTGTATGGCAATGTGTTTGGGCTGCTTTGCTGCTCATGCGTTCTGATTTACCATTGCTTAGGGGTTCTTGGAGGTAACGTGTGATCTGCTGCACTGTGACAGCGTTCACTGTTGGAAGGGGTTTGCATGGACACACAGCCTTGTTTTGGTCTGTTCCTCCCTAAAATAATTTCCATTGAAAAGTGTCTTTAAAACTAATGTGGTTGTGGCCTCTAGTACAGTAGGTCTGATTTCTCATACTTCATAGATATGGTAAATATAAATTGATTCCTGTAATACATTCTAAGTAACAGCTACAGTTGGTGAGGAAATATTTACTGAAACACTTACTGGTGAATTGCCTACCTTAGCTCTTAAATAAAATTTCGTAGCAGAATGTTTAAAATATTCCTCTAGCGGGATGTGCTAGTTTGTTTTGGTTTCTGCTTAAACTTCTGTGTATGCTATTGAAAATAGAAAGAACATGCAGTGTCCTATTTGCTATCTTCATCTTGGGTTTCAGAGACAATGCATTCAAACTTTCTGAAATTCTGTAGATCAGCCTTTATAGGCTCCATGGCTTAGGTGTATGAAAGGCTGTGTTTTATTTGTATCATTGCCATACCAGGAAACAGTTTGTGTCTGGGGAAGCTTTGCTTGTTTATTCAGCCTATCTGACCCTTAAGCAATGTCAGTTAAGCACAGCAATCTCTAACTGCAATCCTAAGGGTGCTAGACAAGCCTTTTAGTAGGCCTGCTGCCTCCATTCTCCAGGGAAGAAATGCTTTTAAGACAAATCTTCTTCCTAGAAGCAAATATAAGTGGTTTGGCTTGCATGCTGTGGTATCTTCCCATAAATAGCAGCCATTGACTTGTAACCTGTTTGCTGAATGCACTGGTACACAGGACTAGCACACTAAATGTCTCGGGAAAACCTTTCGTTTTAATTTGAGAAATCTCATTCTCCTGAATTTCATAGAAGGGCTGGACTCCAAGTTTGCAGCCTCTGGTAAAAAACTTTAAAAAGACATTCCTGAAGTTTTAAGAGAAGTGGTTGACGTGACTTTTTTCAGTTCAACTTGTTTGCATTTTTACTGGTTCTCAAGCTGAAAGAGAATCTCTTGCTCCTGTTCCTTGTGGCTGTTTGTGTATGTGCATATCCTTGTGCCAGTGGTATGTTGTTGCATTTTCCAAATGATCCTGTTTCATTTCAAGAAAAGCTTTAGGATACAATTCTGCTTTCTCGTTGCTACTCCTCTGAAGGGGA